AAAAAATCAACATTTGATGCAAGGTTGATGGGATACACATGTTAGGATGAATCCAATCTCGGCCTAAAAGGAGATTATAGGCCGTGGTTGAATCAATGATAAAGAAAGCCGTAAAGGATGTCTTACCACCAATAGTAATTTCCAAAGGTAAAATACCTTTAGTGTTACTAGATCCTCCATTAAAACCACTGATAGCCACGTCGGTTGGACCTACATCGTCCATGGTTTTACCCAATTTCTTCAAAGTAGTTGCAGGAATGACATTCACCATCGAACCATTGTCAACCAAAACCCTATTGATTGGCTGACCCTCAACCCATACTTTAACATACAACGGCCTCAACTGCTGTGTCATGGACAAAGGTGGTTTTTCGAAAATAATTTTATCGGCCTTAGATGGCTGATCGTGAGAGATCAATCATATCCCGGCCGATGAACTTGTCGAATCGTTCTTAATTTCTGAAGATTCAGCCTTTTCCTCCTGCTTGGCTGACTCAACATCCCTGTTCATCGTTGGTTCTATCGTTTCTTCAAACACAGAAGGCAAAACAAATACCATGTTACAATTTACCTCATCCGGGAGAGAACCAAAACGAATTCTGTACTTGGCCGCATGCTTTGGATCCTGGTCTGGCTGATCATCTTTTTCTTCATAAAAGCATGCCTTATTCTCAAAGGATGTAGCGACCTCCATGACTTCAGCCACCACTGGTTCATTTTTTCTTTCTAGTTGATCATGGTCGATCTTGTCTTCTTTCCTTTTGAGTTCTGCATTTTTTCTTCGCATCCTCCTTTTTTGAGTACGTGTAGGAGGTTGCTTAGGAAACTTTGGGTGACTTACTCGAGTCCATCTGCCATGGTCAACCAAAGGAGGTCTAACCGTTCTTACACGGCTAGATTCTTCTCCTTTTTGAACCCATATTTCTGACTGAATTGTTGGTTTCCTTTTGAAACTAGGATAAAAATGTTGTTCTGGCATGACTCTATCGGCCACCGATGACCGAATGATTCTCACTGCCCTTGGCCCATTTTCTCTAAATATTGATCGATTGATTTCTTCGTGATTCTGTCTAGGCTGATGGCCTAACCTTTCATGGACACTGCGCTTTCTGGTTGATTGGAAATAGCCCCTCTTGTCTGAGTCATTCCTTCGGCCTTTGCAATTTGGACAACAACCATGGTTGATGAGGGCAATTTGAGCTTCTCTTAACTGAATTTCCAAATCCTTAACTTTCTGCTCATCATTACTGGCCGATGAACTACCAAGAACTTTTGGTAATCTTTCCTGTCTACCATTATCAGCGGCTTTTTCAGTTGCCAGGCTGATTACATTGGTACTGACAATATTAGGAAATGGATCGCCATCGACCCCCATTACATCTGGCTTCTTTTTAGGGAATTTCAATACACCTTCATCGATAGATTTCTGCAATACATTTCTAAATACATAACAATTGTTAGTAGTATGATTCCATGAATTATGAAATTTGCAGAACTCTCTTCCTTTTAAATCATTGGTCGATGGTATATTGTGTCCTTTTAGCAAAACGATTTGTTTGTCGGCCAACAAATGATCAAAAATTTGTTCTGTTTTGGCCAGATCAAACGTATAAACCTTACCAGTATCAGCCGTACCCTTCCTGGCCGATGAAGTCGATGGCTGAGTACCACTGGTGGATACATTTGGTTTTGTTAAAGCGTCACATACATAAGGCTTCTTTAGAATGACTTCGGCTAAATTAGCTTCAAAATCTTCCTCTTCAACCATATCAGTTGAATAAACTTCATAGTTGGGGTCCCTATAGTACGTACCTTTAGAGGAATTTTTTCGTTCTTTCTCCTCTTTGAGAACCAACTCATACCTAGTAGCTTTCTCGGCCAGGTCATACATGTCACGAAATGGAACTCCTTCAAACCTCTTTCGAAGTTCAAAATCAAGGTCGTTCAAAGCCAAACGAATGTACTCCTGTTCTGGAAGAGGTACACGACATCTTAATCTTGCTCTCCTGAATCTTGCAATGAATGTCTCGACCGATTCACTAAGCAATTGACTTAGCCTGGATAAATCGGCCAGAGTAGGTTCTGTCTCCGTACGGTAGAACTGATTGTGGAATAATTCCTCCATCTATGGCCAATTAAAAACAGAGTTAGGAGGTAGACGAATTTACCATGAAAAAGCTGCCCCTGTCAAAGAGTTAGGAAAAAGTCTCAATTTCAACCACGGGCTAACACTGGCCTCTCCACATTGAACCGTGAATCGGCCAATGTGTTCCACGGTCGATTGATTCCCCTCTCCACTAAAGGTTACAAAGTCAGGGACTTTATATCCTCTAGGGAACTCAACTTGGTCTACCACTTCTGGATAAGGAGTTCTATAAATTGGTCGGCCGGCACCTCTAAGTTCCAGGCCATATTTTTCTGTGAGTAAATCAGCTAATTGTCTTCTATCTAACATGACTTGAGGTACCTGATTAAAAACTGGCGGCTGATTAGCCGCTGGTTGATAGCAATTCGGCCAATCATGTGGCTGATTAGCCATATTCTGCCCCCCGAGCCCTACCTGTGGCGGCACATGAGTATACAGTGGGTTCGGTGGCCTCCACCTGATCTGATAACCCCCCGAGTTCAAAGGCATCCGAGGAGGGTTTGGTGGAATTACCTGTGGCCGCGAACCTACTACTGGTGGCTGATTAGAACCTGCCAACGTAGGCTGAGGATAGCTTTCTACCCAGGTGAGTAGCGTATGAACCGGCTGACTTGATGTTGCACCTGGTTGGAGTGTCACTACTGGCGGCCATGGCTGTGATGTTTCAATGGCCCTCTCTAGCCGAGCAGCTTGTGATAAGTTCGGCTGAGAAGCCGATTCCTGATTGTTGGAGCTGCTAGCTTGAGTCGGCTTGTTCAAAATAAAGGCTGAGAGTTGGGACATGTTTTCATGCAAATCGTTGTAGCGTGCTCCCATCCTTCCCATTGCATCTACCAAGGAGCTAACCTGTGCTTGAAGTACGGCTAACTCATCAGTAAGACCTGTTGCAGAGTTCTCAGCCTGTACTTGCTGATCGCCTTCCTCCAAATCTTCATCAGTAGCCACGGCCTTAGAATTTTTTGTGGGCCGCGGCATATTTGCCTCTTTTATAACATTCTAGTAATGGTCCCACCGGGCGTGCCAAAACGTGTTCGCGCGGTTTTTGTTCCCTACGCTGGTCGATGGACTCTTCGCGGGCGTGCCAGAGTATTTGTACAAAATACCCAAAATATGTAATTGAACACCAGCCTATCCCTTTTTCCGATGGCTGACTCTCAGGCGATTATGTGGGAGAGAGACTAGTAAGAACTCCCAGTAAGGTTCTTTTATGCCTTGTTTGTAGCAAAGACTTTTTAGAGTGTCTAAAGAAATGTAACGGCTGATGAATGTTTGAATGGATGGAATGGCCGAGTGAAGACAGGCGACAAGAACTTAATCGATCGCCGGCCGAACGTGATGGCGAGAACTTAATCAATCGCCATCAGCCAAACACAATGGCAATAATTTAATCGATCGCCACCAGCCAAACACAATGGCAAGAATTTAATCGATCGCCAATGAAACGTGATAGCAAGAATTTAATCAATTGCCATCAGCCAAGTAATGACAAGAATTTAATCAATTGTCACTACGATTCAATGGCAAGAATTTAATCAATTGCCATTGAATTGAAAGCCTAACTAAAATTGCGTAATTAAAATTGGCATAATTGAAATTGAAAGAAAGTAAATGGCTGAATCGAAATAGTTGACGAGGATCTAATCAATTGCCATTAAATTAAAATAAAGAAATTGATAGGAAAATGACGTAGAGTCAATTGAAAACATTTTTAGTTGAAATGCATGTTTTGTGGTGGTGCTGGACCCCCTAGAATGGAATACAATACTTCTATTTATAGAACTTCTATCTCAACTTATTTTCCTAAGTTATTGCTAGAAAATTTCTCCTTCTTTGATTCTTTCTCTTCACAATTTGAACTCAGTCAAATCCTATTGTTATTCCGCTTCCTTTCTTGTTTTGTTTCAATAGGAAATCTCTGTAAAAACAACCTTCCTCGATTTAATCACATGTAAGTTGCCGAGATATTGCTAAAACGTTGCTAGAAAGTTGCTGAAAAGTTGCTAATTTTTGGCAACTCCCCTCTTTAAGTTTAGCAGCCCGTTTCATTCCCTTAAATGGCTGGAAGACCATTTATAGCCTTAACCCATACACTCACGTGGCTGCCCCTTCCTTTTGAATTTCATTTCCATAAGGACTCAATTTCCTTTCTCATAACTAAATCCCTATTTTATAGGCCAACTTCTCCCAATGTTCTATTTCTAATGAAATTTCCTTTTGAAATTAACACAAGTCTCGGTTGTTTAGTAACAACCCTTTTGGTGAGGTGGCTGAATATATAGATATCTTCCTAAATCTTCTCCTACTATTTCTCCATTAGCCGACCATTCTTGGACATGCTTAACACTTATCGGCTTCCCATTGGTCCACGTCGCTGCTGAAGTGGCTGCCAAGTTTTGGTGCCAACAGAAACATAAGTTATTTTCCAAATAAATTCTAAAAAATATCAAGTCATGTTGACTGTCAAATTACTCTACATCCATATCTGCAATCCATATGTTGGGGCATTTGATTTGGAAAATTGGAAATTTTTAATTATTGGTTTGACAGCCCTTGGGTAATACAAAGAATGCAAGTGTTATTCGGAATAATTGGGTGTAAAACTTCTATAGGTGGTAAGTAAAATTGAAAATGGGAACCAAAAACCTTCTAAACCCATATATATGCATAAATATATATATATATATATATAGAGAGAGAGAGAGTATATATAAATGTTATGTTTCATAAGTTGCAGCAGTACATAACCAAACCTGTTGGTTTTATCCTCCCACAGAATAACAGTCACTTTGACAACTAGTGAAGTCCACAAATAGAAACTTGAAGCACAATTATCAAACAGGGAAATAGAACTTACAGCATGAGGACATTTTGAAGCTGACCGAGTTCTTGAGGAATGGGACCATAAAGGTGATTATTTGAAATATCTCTACAATGGAAAATCATGACAACAAAGTTGAACACTGGACAAAGAAAATGCAATAATACCCATAATTGCAATTAAAGATTCCATACATCTCCATAACGCTTCTTAGATTACCAAACTCAACTGGTATATAGCCAACCAAATTATTCCTGCTTAAGTTCCTGCATATAATTTAAGGGATTGTCAGCAAAAATAAAAATAAAAATTGGTACAAGATTCCTTTAAATGTAAAACTCACAGTTTCAGAAGATGCTCCAAATCACCAAGGGAAGAAGGAATAGAACCATTAATTTTGTTGTTTGAGATGTCCCTGAGCCAAAAAATAAAAATCTAGCATTGTTCATAGCTAACATATAAGCAAGGTAGAATTAATTGTCAAGTTAATCATGCTTTGTATTTATGCATCTTAATGTCTTACTTGACCAGCCTTGAAATTAAGGCTTTCTTTGATCCTCAAAGGACTTGGTTGTACACTATTTTCTATTAATACAGTTTACTCTATTTATCTTTAAAAAAAAAATAGGTAACATATGATCATACAACATGAACATTAATTGGTTTTAAAAATTCTTACTAAATTTTATCCTGTTGAAACTGAATACACCATCCTTCTATCCAACAGGAGAAATGCAATTACATGCCTAAGAAAGTAAGTAAGCAAGCAAGCAAAAACTATTTCCTTTTCTGACAAAGAAGTCACACACATCAAGTGTAAAATGCATTTATAAGAATACACATATCAGCTGCCACATTTTTTAATCACTTGATTATAAAATAAACAGGATTTGGATCGTATTTGATAAAGTAATCGGAATGGGTGTATATACTGTTATAGATAAGAATCAAACAATAAGTTTAATAAATCATTACTAAATCACATGAATGAGCACTAGAATATGCATATGAAGGTTATAAGCTTAAAGAAAACCAAAGCAAGTCATACCTCGGTTCCCTTTCACATCTCTTGGATCTTTTTTTTCCTTTGATATCCCAAAAACATCATGACACAGGTCCTTCATGGATGTAGAGACCTGCAGATCAAACTTGACGATAAAACAATGTATATTAGCAACTCTTACTCGACACAATCTGACCAAAATTCAATCTTTTTTACTAGACAAGTTAATTACACTGAAACCAATGGATTGGGGACCAATTTTTAATTTCCATAATTCATATATGAGAAGTCTACTTAAACAATTACAGAGTTCGGGACAAGATTTAAATTCTACCAAATATATATAAATATATATGGCATATACAAATAGAGAGAGACAGTAGTACCTGAATCATGGGCTTTGCCGAGGATGGAAACAAGGGGTTTGCCTTGGAATCAAGAGGAGGTACTGTGCTGGTATAATTCCGATCACCTGCCTTCGAAATCTTGTGAATCCTTGGAGAGAGAATGAAGCGTATGCCCCGGCCACCGCCACTAGTGCAGTCCGGCGGCGACTAGCTAGGCATGAACGACCCATGAATTGGTGTCCTCGGAGGAAGAAGTAGTAGAAGAAGTTGGTCTGGTAATTATATATTTTGTAGGGTTTCGCTGATCCAACTGAAAGTCTCCCCAATTTCACTAAAACTGCAATTAGGTAATGAAAAGTAAATTAACCCTCTGGCTTCATAAAATCCCAATAATTGAACAAGTATGAATTAAATTATGAACAAGTTGTGAAGGCATTAATTAGCTGATTGAACTGAAACAGATCAAAATTAATTGTGCACTAAACTAAATCAAACAGCTTTGAATGCAATATCATAGTCCACAAGTAAATAAGGACTAGTGAGATTCAAAGTGAAGGATAATACGGTGCATATGAAGAGGAATCGTACCGTCTGATTCATCGGACGAAGCAACGGAGAGACTCCGGCGATTCCTAGAGAAGAGATCCAAGTTCTCATCAGTATCCTTGGAGATTCCGTTGAGACTGAGACCTCGCCGGTGCTGCGACCTCCCTCCGATCAGAGATTCCTTCAAACTCTGATTCATTTCTACGGATCCAACACCATTACCATCCCTAACACACAAGCAATTAGCTAGAGTACACATCTCGCGTTCCCTCTCTTGATTGTTCAAGAGCTTCGACACCGAAGCCTGAATCACGACTATTTGAATGTGTGCAGTTTAAGGATGTCACAGGAAGTGCTTGGGTAAGGTTTAGGGCTTGAGTTGGAAAAAGTGATAAAGCGTTTGGGTACCGTGATAGAAAAAGGGAAAATATATTTGGGCGGGAATATAAAATAATTAAACCGCCTGAAGGAATATTTTGGGGGGAAAAAAATTAATAAAACATTTTTCATATTGTATTCAGAGATTCCATCGTCTAACCAAGAGATGAATTAGATTATGAATTCACTTATATGTAATAATATTATAATGTTATGATAGTCATTATACAGTGATTTTTAAGATTAAATATTGTGGACCTTTTGTCAGAAATTTGAATTCGTGGTAAAATACCTTCTATTGTCACAAATTATTTCGTCGCTAAATAACAATCCTTTCGTGGCAAGTAGCAATCCCAATATAGGAATTAATCGTAACTAATTCAATCCTTTTGCAACGAAATATTTATCATGGTAGAATAGGTCTTTTCCCACGAAATTTATTTGTAACTATAAATTTAATTGCCCATGAATATATGTCGTGACAAATACCCAAAAATAGGCAACAAAATTTATTCGTGGCTATAATTTTAATTGCCTACGAATATATATCGTGGCAACTATCTAAAATAGGCCACGAAGTTTATCTGTGGCTATTCTATTATTAATAAAATAAAATATAATTTAATAGTCAAAAATATATATTGTTGCAAATACCAAAAATAGACTACATAGATAAAAATTTGTAGCAAACCTGTATATTATTAACATTATAAACAAAAGAAATAATATAAAATAAAAAAATTTATCACATCAACATGATTATGCAAACAAATAAATACTTGATATTGCATAAATTACACCAACCAAAAAATTTATTGTTTACAACATACATAATAAAGCCCATCGCGTAAAAAATTGAATCTTGACATCTAATACAATTTCAACTCCAATAATTTGGACCAAAACAAGCTAGTATCTTAAATAAAATGTTTCTAAGATCTTAGACAAAAATGAACTATAGATTCCTAAACAAAGAGTTCAAAGACCTAAACATACACTACTTAAACCATCTTAAACAAAAAGGGCTTGAAGTCTTGTAGCACGAGCCATCCAAAAATCTACAAAACAAACAATGATGATCTTTCCTCTACCTGCAACAACAATCAAACCACAAGAGACAAAAAGAAGAAACAAAAACAGAGAAAAGAGAAGAAAGAAAATCCGAGTAACAGGATACAACTTGGGAATGCATTGCACTACAACCATCCAAACACACAAGTTCATAGGGTAAGCACAATACACAATTTGCAAGGGAAAAAAATATTCAACTTTTTAAGCATAGAATGCATTGCCATGGACTACCATGTGGATTAAACATGATCAGTACGGAAACAGAAAAACACAAATAAAATTAAGCCATGGACCTAGAAAAAGCTAAGTAGAACCTGACAATTGAGACCATTGGTTAAACAAGTACACAATTTTTGAAGCTTTCTTTTTTCCTCTATTTATTTATTTTTTAATGCAGCGATGAAGAAACACAGAATGATAATGTTGCATGAGTACGCAATGGATAAAAAAGGCTTTCAAAAAAGTTTACGTGGAATATCATTAAGGGATTTTTACATATAAATAGAGTTAGTGAGGTATATTTACTCATGGATGAAGTCAAAATCTTATATTTTCACAAAAATGAGTTTGCCTAAATGATGACATGGCACATAAAGTTTTACTGTTTAAAATTTTTGTTGCCTAAAATACCCTTCTTCCTATTCTAATGCATTTACCTTATTACCCTTGTTTAGAAAACATGGTACCTGGAGACCAAAAAGTGATACCTTCAGTTCAAAAATGTGGTACCTTTAAAACAAAAGTGGTACCTTCGTAAAAGGGACTTATTTTTGCAATTGAAATGGCATTAAACCCCACACCGCTAATTAAGTTGCACATTACATCCATAAACAGCTCCATTAGCGCCATGAATAACACAAAATATTCTCCAAGCTAGCTAAGCGAGTATTTAGAAAACATGGTACCTGGAGGCCAAAAAGTGGTACCTTTAATTCAAAAACGTGATACCTTTAGAACAAAAGTGGTATCTTCGTAAAAGGAACTTAATTTTGCAATTGAAAATGGTATTAAACCCCACACCACTAATTAAGTTGCACATTAGATCTATAAACAACTTCATTAACGCCATAAATAACACAAATATTTCTTAATTATCATATACTACATCTAAATAGTTGGTATGGTAGATTTTTTTTTTTCGCACCATTTTAATCGGCAAGGCTGTTTGGGACTTTTGAATAACTATTTCAATAATGCAATTGTTAAAAAAATTATGGTATCCAAAGATCATGTTTGATATGGATCTGGGTCATAATTAAATCTTTAGAATTTTTCAATGATAATAGGGAGATAATTTGGTCTCTAGACCTCTTATACATGAAGACCATTTAGAATTTTGATATAGATCTAGGTCCTAATTAATTGTAGGATGCTACTTATATATATATATATATATATATATATATATATATTAATTGTATGATAAGAATAGAATGATTATCATGAATTCAAACAGACATCTTATACATTATAACTTAAAGAGATTAATGTGTTATTGAGATTCTAGAATGCCCCAGTCTAGAATTATATTTTTCTTTGCATACAATTATAATTATACTGATGTGTTATTGAAATTTTGAAATGCCCCAGTTTAGAAATTCTGAAATACCTCATCTTATGCATTTAATTATATTTTTTCATTTTGTTTAAGAGTCTGAAAATTTGTCCACGTTTTCAGTTCCTCTCCTTTACTTTTTCCATTTCGCTTACTTCTTTAAGGTTGGTTAATTTTTTCGTTAATGTGATACAATTAAATATAGTAACCTTTTTTTTTTTTTTTTTTTTTTTTTTTTTGACAGTGTGATTGAAGGATCGATTCTTGCCATCAAGACTTTGTATGGATGAGTGGGAGTTAATATTGCAATCAAGACTTTGTATGGACGAGTAGGGGCTAATAAATGTTCAAACTTAATAATTGTGTTCTTATTTTGCAAAAGATGATTGCTTTCTTTAAATTTAGTGATTTAGTTTTTTATTTTTTGTTGACTTTATTAGATTGGATGGATCATAACTTTTTTGACATTCGTGATGACTTAAAGTATTTTGTAGACATAGCACTTCACTTGATGGTTTTGATTTAATGAAAAGTAATGGATTTTGATTATTCTATTTAATAAATACATGCATGTTAGGCTCTTATATTTAATAAGAAGGTTTATAAATTTTTCAACAGCAGTTTATAGATCTAATGTGCAACTTAATTAACGGTGTGAGGTTTAATACCATTTTCAATTGCAAAAATAAGTTCCTTTTACGAAGGTACCACTTTTGTTCTAAATGTACCACGTTTTTGAATTAAAGATACCACTTTTTGGCCTTTAGGTACCATATTTTCTAAACACTCGCTTAGCTAGCTTGAAGAATAATTTGTGTTATTCATGGCACTAATGAAGCTGTTTATGGATGTAATGTGCAACTTAATTAGCGGTGTGGGGTTCAATGTCATTTTCAATTGCAAAAACAATTCCCTTTTACGAAGGTACCACTTTTGTTCTGAAGGTACCACATTTTTGAACTGAAGGTACCACTTTTTGGCCTCCAGGTACCATGTTTTCTGAACAAGGGTGATAAGATAAATGCATTGGAATAGGGAGAAGGGCATTTTAGGTAACAAAAATTTTAAACAGTAAAACTTCATGTGCCATGTCATCATTTAGGTCAAACTCATTTTTATGAAAATATAGGACTTTGACTCCATCCATGAGTAAATATGGCTCCATAACTCCATTTATATGTAAAAATCCCTATCATTAACGCTAAATGAAACTTTTTTTCATTTGTCGTGAATATGGAGCTTTAATATTGGCATCAACAGTTTCTCCTGTATTAAGAAAGAGTAACTTATTTTCTACATTTATGAGATACAAGTGAATATTGCTTTAACTAACTACCTAAACTACAACAGGACCTGTTCATTATCTAATGTAGTTAAAGGATATCATATTGCTTAGAGAACACAAAAAAATTAAGAACTTATTATAGTATAATTGTATTAAATAAATATATGTGCAGAATTTTAAATAAGTGTGAAGACCAAGTGCCCTAAAGTAGACAACAAACCCTCTTTAAAATTAAGGAGAGTGGTTTTATTATTTTTTTCCATGTGATGGGTGAAGTGTACTATAGACAGAAATGGGCATGGACAAAAATCCAAGAAGGGCAGACACTCCTAATAGATAGTTTTGTCTGTTCAGAAGTTTAGATTTATTTCGGGAACAATTCTATTTAGACCTTCAACTCTAACTTAGAATATTGCTTGGTCAGGCAAGTTTACTTTTGATTCAATGCAACTATTATGAATTTGTAGATATCTTAAGTCACACTCTGAAAAACATTGGCAAGAACTATAGAAAAATTTATTAATATAAATCAGATGTGAGTTCACTACCTGAAATGCACAATTGTTGATTTGACAAGCCTTGTATTGAACTGAAAATCATAGAAGCTGTGGCCCTTCTCCACTTTTCTGCACTCCAGCAAGAAGAATATTTCAGCACAAAGCTCAAAACAAATAATTATCTAGTGTGCACTGATGAAAATCTTAGCATATGGAGAAGAAAAATAGCTAGAACTTTTACAATATAATATACATATATATATATATATATTAAAGAACAAGGTTAAGTAATAAGGCCTAATGGACGTAAAGGATGTGTTATTGTATATTTAAAAATATGGAAGAGGAAAATAAAACATATTTAAAACAAGAGATTTGTTAAAAGAGTCTTCAAAAATGCATGAAGTACCTGCATCAAATACAAGACACTTGGATATGGGCATGGATATGTGCCTAACAAGTCCAGTTGACATGCACCTACCAAGCATAGCCGGTGCTTCAAGTATGTCCCTTTTATTACATTATTGCTTTAAAATGAGTGAAATGTTTAGGGGGAAAAACTATATTTTCTGTAAACAGAAAGGAAGAATATTAAACAACAAAAATATTTTGTTGTGTCACCATGCCCTTGGGTTTTAGCTCTGATAAATCCGACACTTGACAAAAATCCGTAACCCACACACGTACCCAATCTATGTAACATTCCACTGGTAAAATTCAGAAATGAACAAGCTTTTAAGACTTGCCCTACATTCAAAGTTCCTTCTTTTGTTTTTTTCTGTTTTTTTTTTTTTTTTTTCTGTGCCTTCTACTGCTTAAATCAAAAACCCATCTGATGATACAGCTAAACCCTAAGATCAAAGAGATTGGAAATCAACCAATCCAACAAAAGGCAAAAATTAGTATATGTATTAAAAAAAATTCAGGGAACCATTTTCTTGTTTTGGTGAACAAAAAAGTGGGAAGATGTTAAGTTAATCTAACTTCTAAATTCACAACTACCACCAGATGAAACGATTTAGTTGAAAATAGACAAATTTTTGTTTCGGCTGCAAAAATTATTCCATCAAAACAGAGGCAAAAGAGGCTAACCTTTTCGAGCTCTTCAGGAGAGAACAAGAGGTTCTCGTAATTTTTGTAGTGCTTCAGTCTCGTCTCGCGGTATACATCTCCCGTAAAATTGAGCCTCTCCCAAGGAATTCCCTCCATTCCGAGCTTCAGTCTCTGGCTTGCTCTGTAAATACCAACATGAATAGTTCAAAATAGAACATGTATTTGCATTAAAAAAAAAAAAAAAAAAAAAAAAAAACCCTACAGAAAGATCAAAAAAATCAAAACTAACACACACATATATAGAGAGACGAACCTTGAGTTACTCCTCCAAACCTTCAATTTCTCTGTTGTTCGCAGGAATATTGAAAAAAACCGTCACTCCTAACTACTTCAATTAAGCGATTAGATGAAATTGAAGTGTAGCCGTCTGCAATCCAACGAAATCGTCACTCTAAATCCTACTTTGGTTCGGTGATCAAATGACATCAGGCGTAGCTATCTGAAATCTGAAGAAATCGTCACTCCAAATCTTACATCCAGCAATATGATGAAATTGAGGCATATCAGTCTCAAATCCGAAGAAATTGTCCCTCTAAATTGCTGGTTGTGGTGTCCAAATTCGACTGAATACTTCAGTTTGAAAGGGTAAAATATGCTATTGTGGTGTTGCTTCTAGAGCGCAAAATCTAATCACAATCACAATCAGCTATGCGAAAGAGAAAGAAAAAGGCAACAGATTGAATTTTAGGGTTCCAAACCTTTAGTTTCCCTGTACGCAAAATACAAAGTGAATAGCCGTGTGTGAATGAGGTTGCTAACGCCTAATGGTGACTCCACATCAACAATTTGAGAGAGAGAAGATATAGAGAGGTGATATGGCATGCAGGCAAAGAGAGATTGGGAGCTTCGATCTGATATCGAATACAGAGAAAGAGAAGCTACAGCACCGTCTTCGTCGACATCGTCTTTGTCGACAGAGAGAGAGCTAGGTCATTGTACTTGTTCGACCTAAGGGAGGGAGAGCAGAGTTGTCCAGTGGGCTTCTACGAGTCTTCCTTATCTCACCTGGGCTAGGATATGTATACTTAATAGACAAAAACGATGTCGTTTATTAAGGTAGCATTGGCTCACAGTACATTCAAAAGGCTAATTTTTAATTTTTCACATTTCCTTAAACTCAATGGCGCCAAATTTCCCGCTACTATATTTTTTGGATGAAATTTGTTCTGGGTTGGGCTTTAGAGACTGCTAAAATAATAGTGTCTTTAGGGACAATTTTTTGTACTGTCCCTAAAAGATTGTCACTAATACCTCTTTTCTTGTAGTGGTATTCTTGTAATAGTATTTACAAGTTTGTAGTTACTAATGAATGTAAACCATTATATTCTGAAAGACAAGCGTCACAGAATCTGTCAATACCATGCGGGTTATAAATTGTCTTAAAGACATAGTTTCCAATACTAGGCTCGGTCCACATTCTTTATTTATTATTATTATGTTATTGATTTAATTTGCATGTTTAATTAAATAATAAGTTAAAATATTTAATTAATTATTTTTAAATACATTATTAATTATCTCATGACATATTAGTATAAGGTTAGTTATATCTTAAATGTAATTTGAAGCATATAATTTCCAACATAATCTAATAGTTCAAAAAATATTTTAATGATTTTTATATATGTGCATAGGCATGTTTGTAATTTTATGTGTGCTTAATATAGCATTTGAGGGAGAATTATTAGTTAAAAATAACTTGGATCAAAGAATGTTTTGGTACCTTAAAGGAGAACTTATTACAACTATATATATATCGTTAAATTTTATCTTTTACAATATCTATAGAGAAGATATTGTGTAAGTTTCTTTTTTTGTTTGGTTGGATGTAAGAGAAGAGAATAAGCTCACGGATCGATTCAGTCCAGTTTTGGGGTAAAGTTCAATTCAATTCGAGCTCCACGGATTTGTTAAATTTAAAACTAAACCGATCTGTGAAGACTTTCAATCCGAACCAAGTCAATCCGTAAAATAACAGATCGAATCGGTTCGATTCTGACGGATTGGGCTTTTCAAACCTTAGAACATTAGTATTTTCTACAGTTGTCATTTGCCAAGAACATAAATTGTTACATCAGATTCAGCTACTAATACATATTCCAATATTCCTCATCTGAACCAATTATATAACTTTCAAAAACCAACGGGCCAGTGGCCTAGCGGTACCAAGCTCCTACTTTTCACAAGGAAGTAAGGGATTCGAACCTCGGTAAAGGCATGTGTGTGTGAGTTCCAACTACGAAAAAAAAAACTTTCAAAAAAAAAAAAATCACAAATTAAAATCAAACTATATTTTTAAGAGAATAAAAAATTTTAAAATCAAACTTGTAGAACTGAATACCTAACCTACCAAAAGATCATCATAATTACGTCTTTATACAAATAAATAATAAATCAGAATAAAATATTTTCAAAAAATATGAGAAAAATAAGACAAACAGAAGAAATCAGCAAGGACATTACAAAAAACAATACGAGTTGTTCAGAGAAGAGAAGAATAAGAAAATTCATGAAAAAATCTTATGAACTCACCTAAAAAAAGGTCGATCCAGTCAAAGAGGTCGTTGTTTCTTCGATACACAGAGGTCTCTGTTGTTTTGATGTATTGTAGGGTGAACGATGGATTGAGAGGCGAGAAATTGAAGACTGCGAGGCTGAAGAGTGAGGCGCACTGTGCCTGTAATGACTATAAATTCTAATGACTAATGAGATAACTAGTGACCTAGGGTTAACTTAAATAATGAATAAAAGCAAAAAATATAAATACAGTAATAAATGACAGTAAGTATATATATAATATATTAATATATAATTAAGGTAACGAATCGGTTCGGTTCGGTTAACGGATCGGATCGGTTTTTTCAGGGCCAATCCGTTAACCGAATCACGGATAGCAGATTGCTATTTTTCTAAACTATCACCAACCATGAGATATGAAAACCGAACTAAACCACACGGATCGGATTGATTTGGACCGGATTGACGGATTATTTGAACACCCCTAGGTATACCTTAGAACAATAATTATTTGTTACCTTGAAACATATTGGCAAATCATTTAATTAGAATGATCGAGTAAACTGGACAATATGAATTTCTCTAATAAAGAAAAAATTATATTAAATTAATTACCTCTAAATAAGTTTATCTTTCACTATAAGATATAATATTTTTATATTATATCAAAACAATTGCTAGGAAAACTAATAAAGAAACGTGGGAAAAATTATCTAAGATTGGCCATTGAAAATATAAGTAAACTTCTATAAATTTTCATCTCTAATTAGATTTTTTTATATAAGAAAAAAAATATTAAAGCAATTGAATATAAATAAGTTTATCGTTCAGTATAAGTTATAATATTTTATATATATCAAAACATTTGTAACAAATAAATTGCTTTACACTTTTCTCATATAACAATTAAAATAAACATAATTATTTTATATTAAAATTTCATAACACAAGAAAATTATGACTACAAACAATGACATTTTTTGTGAAACGAATAATATCGTTGCCACGAAAATAGTTACGTGGCAAAAGATCATACAATAGCCACAACTAAAAATTCGTGACAAAATATGCCTTTTAGCCACAAGTCAAAATATTCGTGGCAAAATAACATTTTTCGCTACAAAAAATAACATCGTTGTGAATTACAAATAGATTTGCTACGAAAATAGTTATGTGGCAAAATAGCATACAATAGCTACGACTAAAAATTCATGGCAGAATAAATCATTTAGCCACGAGACAAAAAATTCGTATCAAAATAACATTTTTCACCATAAGAGTAACATTGTTGCGAATTACTAATAGATTTGCCACGAAAATAGTTACGTGGCAAAAGAGCATACAATAGCCACGACTGAAAATTCGTGGCAAAACCAACATTTTTGCCACGATTTTGTATGTCGTCCCTAATTTGTCGTGGCAAAATTGATATTTAGCCACAAATTTTTAGGTCGTTCGTAAAATTTGTCACGATAGCCTAATATTTGCCACGAAAAGTTTGCTCTGTGGCAAATACCAATATTTAGCCACGAGAATTTAATTTTGTGGTAGAAACACTACTTTTTGCCATGAAATTTTACACGTGGCAAAAAATTTCGTGGCAAGAGCCCAAATTTGTTGTAGTGTCTGCCTAAGATGCCTTTGGCTGGGATAATGTTCTCTACCGACCGTCCTAGGTGGTGTGGTGACAACTCTAAGGTATAGGCTGGGTTTTTAGGTCATTTTCAGAATGATAATTTGCGTATAATTGTTTGGAATTTTCAAGGGCTAGGTAACCCTGTGACCATCCAACAGCTTATTTCTCTCCATCGGCTATAGTCTCCGAATATTTTGACGGTGTTGGAAACCAAGAATCATAGAAATCGAATGGATCATATTCGGAAAGTTCTTAGGTTCCATCAAGGGAGAGTGTCAGATCTTGTGGGACGTTCGAGAGGGATAGTGCTTTGGTGGATGGACACGGTTCAGTTACAAGTGATGGAATCAAATGAGTTTCATATTACTACAATGATTCACTCTCCCCATAATCCCCCATGGACACTTACTGTTGTGTATGCTAGTTATGTGGACCGTATTCGCATTATCCAATGGAATTATTTGGCGAATCAAGACCAATACTGGTCTTCAAAATGGGTGATTGTTGGTGACTTCAATGATATTCTTCATCCTTCTGAAAAATATGGTGGGGTAATTAAAGCTGGGTGGCGATTACAGGCATTTTGGTCTTTATTGGAGAACTGCAATTTGTGAGATTTGGGCTATCCTTTTATGTGGAATAATCACCGTTCTGGGTCTACAAATATTCAAGAAAGATTAAATCGAGCTTTGGCAACTACAGCGTGGACCTCGGTGTTTCGACGGGCTACTTTATCCCATCTTACTGTGGCTGGATCGGATCACCATGCGTTAATGTTAAATCTTGTTCCAATTGTCCCTAAGGGGAAACGACAATTTTATTTTGATGCTCGATGGACTATGGATGATCGTGGAATAAATCAGTGCATGGATCTTGCCAGTTTGCTCGGCTATCAAAATGAAAAACTGTAAAAAAGCTTTACTACAATGTCAGTCTAATTCTAAAATAAGATTCGGCAGGCGGAATCTTATTTGAGATCTCTCAAAGAATTGACGGCGACGTATAATCATTCACTGGTGCTTCAGGCGGAATCTGATTTATTGCAATGTTAGCTGGAAGAGGAGATTTATTGGAAACAGAAATCTTGGAATCAGTGGCTTTAACTCAGGGATAAAAAATCACGCTTTTTTCATGCAGCAACCCGCCGAAGAAGAGCTCGAAATAGAATTTCTGGGGTAACTGATGAAGTGGGAGTTTGGCAAGAAGAGGATGATAAAATTCAATCTATTTTTTTGAGATACTTTCAGCAGTTATTTCAGACTCAACATCCTCAACAAATTGACCAATTTTTATTCCTTGTCGAATCTCACCAGAAATGAATCAATCTTTACTATTGCCACTGACAGAAATGGAACCTTTAAAAGCTCCTAGACCAGATGGTATGACTCCTCTCTTTTATCAGAAATATTGGGAGGTGATTAAGGATGTTGTTGCAGCGGTAACCAGTTTCTTCCAAACTGAGTATATGTTTTCCTGCTTAAATCATACTAATAATATTCTTATTCCTAAAACTGACTCACCTACTTAAGTTACTCATTGCAGGCCTATTTCTTTGTGTAATGTTGCATATCAAATTATTGCTAAAGTTATGACTAATTGTTTGAAATGTGTGGTTGTTCAAGTCATTAGTGAATCTCAATCTGCGTTTGTTGCAGGAAGGCATATTACTGACAATATTCTTATTTCACATAAGATTCTCCATTATTTGAAAAATAAAAGGAAGGGTAAGAAGGCTTTTTTGGCACTCAACCTTGATATGAGTAAAGCCTATGATCGTATATAATGGGATTTTTTATTCAGTATGCTTCGTAAATTGAAAATG